GGGAGGGCTAGCCTCCCACTAGTTCGAATTAAGGGGCTACACACCCCTTAATTCGAACTAGCTAGTTCGAACTAGGCTTAATCCTCGTGGAATAAGGATTACCTAGTTCGAACTAAGCGCTCCGTTAGTTCGAATTAAATTCGAACTAGCGGAGCGCTAGTGTAGCGCCTATCAAAGTTAGTTTGAACTAACTTTGTAGTGTAGACATACCCCAAGCCAGGACTGCTTTGCTGTCCTTCATCGAGGTAGACAAGCAAGAGGGGAACCCTGAGAACTGTCTGTCCGGGGTGGGGGTAGGGTCCCTTTAAGCACGGAGCTCAGTTAGCCTCAGGCAGCAGCCCCACATACTAAGTCCTAACCTGATGCCCTGCCAGCACTGGTTCCGGCCAGCCTTAACCTCGGTTCAGGGTCCACTCAGTGTGGACGCACTATTTCGAAATAGCAAAACGCTAATTCAAATTAGTTTTTAGGTTTTGTGTGTAGATGCGTTAATTCAAATTAGCTTAATTCGAATTAAATATTTCAAATTAAGTTAACTTGAATTAACGCTGTAGTGTAGACGTACCCTTATAGAGGTGTGGTGCTGCTGGGTCATTAATCTTCCCTCCCGTTATAGTCAAGAAATTGAAGGCCTATCTGCCCAAAGATAGTTAGGTAGTCAGGCATGCATCTGCCACAGAATCTTAGGGCACCTAACTTCTGAAAATCTGCCCCCAACTGCTAATGTAGAAGGGACAAAAGGTTTCCAGCACAGTTACAGCAAAGCAACAAATCTGCCAGCTATGCTAACAAGCGAGTGGGCCAACAGACTCGCCAAGCCCATGGGCAAGATGAAGGGGTGGCACCACACTCCCAGAAGGGGTGGGGCCACAGGTGGAAAGGGAAAGGGACCTCTCTCAGTGCTGCCTTGAGCATGCCACATGGGACTCCAGCAGGGATTTAAAGGCTCCAGAGCTCACTTGGACCCATTGAATTACTGGGCCCCAGAGCAGTTACCTCTTTCCCCCTCCTGTTGGCAGGCCTACAAACAAGTTTCTCCTCTGGCTGAACAGGCAACAGAGAGCGAACCTGGTGGAACTCATTGCCTGGGGATGTTGTGAAGGCCAAAACTGCTAACTGTGTTCACCTTAATTCTAATCAATGTCTATTAGCTGAATGGCCAACGCCTCTGACTGCCAGGAGCTGGGAGTGGATGATAGAGGATGGATCACTCAATAATTGCCTGGTTCTGTTCATTGCCTCTGGAGCATCTGGCACTGACCTCTGTTGGAGAGTCGGATGATAGGCTGGGTCAGTAGTTCTCAACTGCTGGTCCACAGACCATGGCAACTCTGGTGGCTGGGGCTGGGATATACCACCCAGCACCTCCCCTGCAGCCCCAGCTGTTGGGAGAGGCATGTCCTGCCCCCACTCAATAATTGCCTGGTTCTGTTCATTGCCTCTGGAGCATCTGGCACTGACCTCTGTTGGAGAGTCGGATGATAGGCTGGGTCAGTAGTTCTCAACTGCTGGTCCACAGACCATGGCAACTCTGGTGGCTGGGGCTGGGATATACCACCCAGCACCTCCCCTGCAGCCCCAGCTGTTGGGAGAGGCATGTCCTGCCCCACCTCTCAGCCAACCAACACCAGGCAGGGTGGGGTCTCTTCCCCGACACGGATGAGTGCTTTGCTGCGCAGCGGGCAGG